GACACACATACTGAAATAGATTGGGATGTTCACTTATACTGGACTTAATAGTAAGAGAAATCGATAATGCATTAGTAATTTAGTATTTATAGTGCATGAGATTAAATGCTTACGGTATATTATTGCTTTTCCTTTATCCTTTAGCTTCACAAGTTGATGTTTTTGTCAAGAAGTATTATATTTATTTGCTCTCCAGTGGTAGGATCAATATATGTGGTCTCAATTATGGTAACCTTGACTATGTTGCTAATGCCATTCATGAGGTAGTTGTCGCTGGCCAATAACTTTCCTGACTTGACTATAAAAAAATCTAGTTTTGATCAAAATTTCAAACAACACAAGTACATGTATGTGCATTCAAAAAAAACATAAAATTGGGAATTCTCTCCTAGCGTTTATTTGCTGACCCGGGTCAACTATATTAAACTACTATAGTGCATTGTAAGGTTCCTTCATTGCTCCAACATGCATGTACCCTATAAGTTGTTTTTTAAGGGAATTATAATTATTTTGCAAAACTACTAAAATTCAAATTTGCAGATTTTATTTTCGCGAATTCTACCACGTGCCATGCGGGCACCATATTAAATTGATTTTCACGAAATTTATTTTTGCGAATCAGGAAAGAATCTGCAAAATCTGCAAGAATTGCAACTCTTGAAGAAAATACTGTAAATTAATAAAATTTCAAAAATGTTTCGAATGTTAATGATCATCATCAGATAATAGGGCATCAAAAAGTCTATCTAAATTTTCTCCACAAATTGCTTGTGTCTCGTAGAAAACTGACGTTCAAAACGAATGCTATTGAACTCAGAAATCATAAACTGATCATCAGCAGAAAGTACTTCATCTTCAAGAATTGTCTTATTCCCACATATTAAGTTTTCGTTCTGTTCTTCAAGGTGCATAGTTTCTTTTTTATTACTGAAAATTTTGTTTTCATTTTTGTGTGGCTTTTTTTTCACTGGTGAAGTGACTTTAACATTTGAGCTTTTAGTTTTAGCAGCTGTTGATGTCAAAGATGTCTTTCCCTTTCTCACTCTCTGTGGTAATCTATAGAACTATAGTACTGTTGACATTATCATCATCTATCATTATGCTTATTATTATGTTATTGTAATTATTATTATTATTATCATTATTATTATTATTATTATTATTATTGTGGAAACACTTATTATTCATGTATAATAATTAATTGATTGATTTTATGTTATGAATATTTAATGAGAAAATGGCAGTATCTTCTCTGTAAATGATTGTATCCTCTCTGGGAATCTGGCGCTATAAGAGCTCTATTTTCCGTTATTCACTTTATAATATCTTTCACACTTATCAGGGTCGTTACATTTGGAGGTCCCACCGAGATAGAGCTAAGCAGATTCACGAGGATTGAAGATTGGATTGAGCACATGCCATCAGCATGCCCGTGACTAAGGCTGAGCTGAAGCAGCAGCTTGATGAAATCAGAGCTGAGAGGGATAGCATGAAGATTGTTTTAGTTAAGTTGGAGGAAGAAAAGAAGCAGACAGAACGTTCGTTAGAAGATACAGAGGCAGAGCTTACTACTGCCCAGGAGAAGCTCAATTCAGTTGAAGAAGAGCTAAGGAGAGTTAAAGATACTGAGGAAGCCATTGTTGAGCTGGAAGACAAGGTGGACAACTGGAGTGGCAAAGAGAGGAGG